CTGCGTACATTGAAAAGCTGCCAAAGGGGCTTTACCGAACTTTTACCGACACTTTAGCATGTCTGAGACCTGAATGAAGGATTAAAGGATCATCGAAGATAATGTTCAGCCTCTAATTAAACAGACAACAACTTCAATGCAAGCGTTTCAATTTGCCCAAACAAGACTAATCTCCTTTAAGAGCTAGAAAAAAACGTTTACACTTAGCATTGTACACGCATCCTAGTTTGTTATAATCTTTGTTATTTGATTATATTATAGGCTTATCGTTAACACAAGTTTCATCATTTTCGTGTAGGAACTTTCGGGCAGACTAACTGATTGGGATAATTAATTTGCGTGCCTCCAAGCCAAACATCGACCAAAGAAAACGTACATAAGCAGGGGCATATTGAATAGGTAGAAGGACGCCGGATATATATAGCTAATCTCGTCTATGATACAGCAGTTCCGCATGAGTCAGTATGGTGAATACATTTACCTACCAATTGCTAAATAAAAACAATGTGAAAAATACCAGATACGCCGTTTATGTCTATCCTTATTTCGTAGCTTACCTCTTATACTTTTGCAAGTAATAAACCAGAGTGACCAGAGTAAGGTTCCACGCTGGACAAATAAACTCTCTTGATTTTTTTTTTTTGCAAACTGGACCGTCCTTCAGTGTCTAATTGAAGAGCCAAAGAGCACACAAACCCTGCTGTCGAAGGGATGATAGTGTTTTCCGTTCTATAAGCATTTCTAATGTGAACATCCGATAGAGCACCCAAGTACAATTACGCTACTCGATCTTTAGTGTCGCCTCGCTCCCTCTTTTAGAAATGTCCGGGTCGAAACAGCAGCTTCCACTGCCTAACCTCTCTGGATTGTTTTTTGTAAGTTCTCAGTGACTGCTTTTGCATCGATTTCTCAAATCGTCAATCGATCGCGCGGCGAACAGATGTATTTTACGCATTGCCTGACTTTCTCATATTTTTCCTCATTCTATCCCTGCCAGTACACAAACCGCATCGATGAACGATAGTAGCTAGAACTGAGACTCCATATATGTAATAGGTACATTGCTAGACAAAAGCAAGCATTGTAACATGTCAGAACAAGAAAAATATATAAAACTGTCGCCTATCGCAAAGACGGTACCCTAGGTTCGTCCTATTATTAACATGCCACTGCTTCATCGAAGGTCTTAATGAAGGACGATGAAGCAATCTCGATTCCAGTTAGCTTTATACATGTGCTTAGTCTAGATAGGACGTAACAGTGTTATATAGGTTCAACCGGTGTCCCAAAAATAATTTGAAGTTTAGGTATTCACATACAGCTAATAATTAAATTGCACTCTACATAAAATTTAGAACTTTTCCTTTTACCGCACGATGGTAATGCACAAGTGGTTTAAAATGGAACTTCACTATTTTCACCGAGGTCATTCCATATACATAGTAAAACGAATCGTTGATATAACTTCAAGCAGTCAAACATAATGGTTTAAGATTTAATCGATGCAAAAACAGTCACCGAGAATCTTTGGTTCGGAAAGCCGCATCCAACAATTGTCGTCTTTTGGCCTGATATTTAGATTTACAGTTATCAGTACGCGTACTCCGGAAACGGTACATCCACGTTTTTCCAATTACCATTCGCAGAACTGACCCAGATCACCTTCGTTAATAGCACATTCAGTTACTGGAATATCATTTTCCCATTGACAAAGTCTTAAAATGAAATGGCCCCTTCATTTGACATTTTTGATTGTCACACAAATTTTCCATACAGTTCTCTATAATTTGCCAGAACTCATATTTTTGACCTCCTAAGACGTTGTCTGTCAACATCCTGAACAGTTCTATCCGTTTCAAAGAAATTCGAAACGATATTATCTTCGTACTTCCGCTAAATTTTCATAACCTCAATAACATTTTCAGATAAATTTTCCTTGTTCAAAAACCAATCTTGGTCCACCCGTTATTTTCATTTAATTCCACTATGGATAAAATAACTGTCACGTAGCTCATTATTTAGGACACCCCACATATATAGTCCAAGGATTATGACATACACTGGACGGATAAAAGGATAAACTCAAATGCACAAATACAAGCCCCTTAAAATGAAAAAGGTATTGAAGTTACAATACAAGAAGAAAAACAGATCATGCTAAGGCTGGAAAACTATTGCCACAATCTCCGATTCATCCAACCAAATGCATTTCATTCAGATCGATAATCAGGAAGGACTTGACTGCCAATTTTTTCCATGAATAAATGACATTCTCCATAGAATTACGGAAGAGGATTAGCTAACATAAAAAAAAATTAGAAAATCATGGGTGTTGGCCCATTAGATACAATCGAGATCACCAGCTTAATTGTTATTATAAGCTAGTTTATTTTTGCGGTCTCCTAGGACACCTTTTGCTGGATTCGAATGTATATATATATATATATATATATTCTTTTTTTGATAAGCTTTCCTCTGTATTCAATGGAAGGTCGTTATCGGTTTTTTTATTTTACTAACAAAAACAATCCTGGTGAATTCTAACCCGGCTTACAAAATTTCCTTCGCAGAGGGCTGACACCAGTGCTTTGCGTTGACTCATTCAGCAGGTATCACACACACTCAGACACATTTAGATAAAGTGATTCGTTGCTACATAATATTAGCTTATGGCTTTGCAAGCGGTTTGTTTACGGTACGACTCTACGGAGAATAAATGCTTAGAGTTTTTGCAATGAGTACTGCTCTTAAGCACTGCTTAAGGCGGGTGGCTCTTAGAACGGGACGAAGTGTGATTACGCTCGGAGTTAAATCTAAACCGTTTGTGTACCTTATTTTAGTGGGCAAATCCGTTGCTACTGTAGACACCATCACGAAAACAAAAAACGCTATAACCTGCATCTATGTTGTCCAAAAATCCTATTGCTTATAAGTACCACTGACGAAATTTCATCCCACGTATAATCAGACTGTCATTAGGAAATTCGCCGAATTGAATATTTCGATAGTAAAAAAGTACCTATGATTAAAACGCTCGTAGAATAAATCATAGCAGTGTAACTACGATTTATGTTTACCTTGAAATATAGTCTTAGTTAGCCATGCTCCTGAATTGGCGCCTGCCTTTGAACTCTCAGGCTATTGAAGGTCAGGTAGACGGAACCTGATCTTGTGGGACCTTACGACGACCCGTTCACTGATCTGATCAAGTATTTAGAAGCTATAAAATATTCCCACAATGAGATAACCAGCGTTTCCATAGGGCTCTTGTTGCGTGCATCTAAACCCGCCTTCTCGTTGGCATTCCCTCATTAAATCGCTTTTTGAGAAGTAAAGTCTATAAATTTACTACTATTCTCTACTGTCTATTACTACCATTCTATTAAAGTATACAATTTGCTACTATTCTCTGAAGACCATACGTAGCTCTAGTTACAGCCTACGGGATGTACGATAACAAAGCAACTTTTGTAAGACCCAGTTTGAGATCAACTCTTACGCGACTTTTTTCGTATTTTAGACTTTCCTTATAAGCAAAATGAATTTTTACCCGATATGGCGTCGCTGATTCTGATACGCGTATTAGTTCTAGAAGGTGTTTGCTTGAAATGAAAAAGCTGACTTCTTTCCGTTTTTGCATATTTGTATATAGCCGTACATTTCTTTGGTGTTTCGGTATCGGTCAAAGTGCTCCTCTGCGACAGTCATATGGGTTACATTTTTATGTTCATTACAGCTACTGTGTATACATTACATATGCACGCATCTTCTTGTATGCATAAGGGAAAACATACAGTGAGCAGTGTATGGTAACTTGAATGTCCATTTGATAGGTATTTGAATTTGCGTGAAAACATCGTATAACTTGAAATGAAAATATTTGAAAATTACCCACTGGTTAGGTGTGCTGGGCTCCTTGCATAAGCACGGGATACAAAATATCTAACGCAGATCCAAAACCATTTGCAGTGATACTTCAAAATAAAGTTCACTATGTAGCAGCTACGCTTTTAAACTCAGACCACAATGTGTCCCTAAAATTAGCAGGCACTGATGGCGATAGCAGACGTAGAACCGGAAACATAGAGGCTTCAAAACCAAATAGAGTTTAGGTAATAAACTCAATGACAACTTAGGCAATTATTTTACGGCCTGCAAGATTTTTTCCTCGTAGCAATCTTACAGGTGTTCGCTTATCGTCCTAGATCATTGGGTTACTCATTGCGTCAACGATGTCTGATCCTCAACGCACTAAAATTTTCAGACGTTTATTTACTCTAATCAAGAAAGGTGGATATGTATGAGGCGTCACTACCTAACAAACACCTCATTTTAGCATCACGCATAAGACTTGAGATATGAATATAGGAAACTAGAGCCAAGTTTAAAGCTAGGGCACGTGATAAAAATTGTTCCCATATATAGTCAATAGACGTGTGCTAAAATAGAGGATCGTCAATCCTTTTCGATCGGGTAGTTAAAAGGATTGCACTTCTAACTGTTCCAAGGCTCGATGCGATTAACAGAACTGACATAATATTTATATAATATTATTGTTTTACGTATTTGCCCAGCTACCAAGTTGAAAACCGCTACCGAAATACTTGTTTTTGGTTTAGTTATGGACTTTTAGTTATTTGTAAGTTTTGACATACAGTTTACTCAGCGGTACGTCTGGTTGCCTATATCACTACTGTCGTAGTAGATACAATATGCTTTAAAAATGAAGTGGTACTTCCGTACGCTATGAAGTCCGTGCACTATCCTCACACGAGAAACAAGTGTTGACAAAACAGATATCGTTTCCACTTCGTGATGCAGCTTGATTTCGAAACGACAAAAGGCGCGTTACTGCAGTCGACTGTGATATACATTAAAACACATAGTAAATTAAAAAAATATATCTAGACATAGTATAATAGCGCTAACCGTAACATTTAGTTTCAGGCTAAGGTCTTTGGACAGTTCGAAAATCTGTCTAAGAATAACGTTACAATACTATGCAGCAGCAGCAGCAGCAGCAGCAGCAGCAGCAGCAGCAGCAGCAGCAGCAGCAGCAGCAGCAGCAGCAGCAGCAGCAGCAGCAGCAGCAGCAGCAGCAGCAGCAGCAGCAGCAGCAGCAGCAGCAGCAGCAGCAGCAGCAGCAGCAGCAGCAGCAGCAGCAGCAGCAGCAGCAGCAGCAGCAGCAGCAGCAGCAGCAGCAGCAGCAGCAGCAGCAGCAGCAGCAGCAGCAGCAGCAGCAGCAGCAGCAGCAGCAGCAGCAGCAGCAGCAGCAGCAGCAGCAGCAGCAGCAGCAGCAGCAGCAGCAGCAGCAGCAGCAGCAGCAGCAGCAGCAGCAGCAGCAGCAGCAGCAGCAGCAGCAGGAACAATAGAAATTTGTTAAACAGTATTGTGCTAGGGTAGTACAAACTCACCATAGATTTCAACATGCATCTAATGATAGCATTATACCAACCCCACCTGTTACTCGTATGTCAAGACAGCTGAAGACCAGAGCGGAAGTAATAAGTAGGCCATTTTTTAGTTGTTCCCTAGTGTAATATTTTAATCCTAGATTTGATACAAGAAATAGCCGACGATCGTGACGTTGATCAGCAATAACAACGGTGACTAACTACCAAAAAATAATAGACAAAGGAGAACTGATAGAATACGGTCTACGGCATTGTAGAACATATTGCCACTTTGTATATAACTGTAGTATTTGCGCAAAGTATTTTTTATCCTCTAACGAAAGGATCACATTTTTTTCGTGCTGCATAATTTTCAAATGGGTTTAGGCAACTTCAGGGTTAATTTAACTATAAATGTAGGCCACAAAGCCAAAGGCCTCTTACTATTATTATTACTGCCACTGGCTATTGCCAACCAGCGTACGTGTTGACCAAGCAGATGAGTTGATACTGGGATTTATGGGACAGGGGCTTTTTGTATAAAATAAAGCCGATTCTTCCCAGACGTCTCGCTTTTAACATAGTGCTCTCTCGTTGAGGCGAGCTTGCATATAGATAATTATGTATATTGTTGGAATTGTTTTTATCGATCGGCACATTTGTATACATTGATACAAATCTACTCCTCTTCAAAGTATAGAATTGTTATTTAATCATCCATAAAATTAATGATTTCCACAGAAGTACACTTTATATGGGCTCATGTAGTTGCATACATACCCACAGAGGTGTGCTGCTCCTGTGTAAGTTCTAACTTTGAGCTGTCTTCCGTATAATTTTCAACTGGTTTTTTCCTTCTAGATTGAGAAGCCTGGCATGCGATTGATTTCGTAGGCAACATCGCCAATTTAGACATATGCAACGAGAATAAGTAGCCATATCCAGTAGACAGAAAGATAGATCCAGCATCAGTAAAGGCGACAGTGATGTTATCTCAACGGAATCTGTCTGACACGCTATTCGTTTGCGTTGCTGTTCCTGCTGCCACTGCTGTACAATATAGAACGGGACACGCTCTTGTGAAGTTTTTATGGGACTTTTCATCAGTTTCATTTGCGTATTTTCTCGTCAAGCCAAATCTGTTATATCTGGATCAATCGATTTTTTAGGAGCAGAAAGCTAATCGACTGGCTTTTATCGTATCTCTAGCGGCGTTAATGGTAATGCCAGCAGAACTTATAAGATTCTATAGGGCTGCTGTACGTGATCGTAATGAAAACGAGCTTTAGACTAAAAACGAGAAAGAAGAGAGCTGATGCTTACCTTAACCAGATACACTCTCATCGGTAAGACTGGTAGCTGAATTAAAGATACCTTCTTTGGACCACGCATGCCCTGCGCCATCAAAATAATCCGTACTGCAAGGGTAGCAGCGCAATGGTCGGTGAGGGCACTTTGGTACCGAGACACACAAAGATACAGTCAGTGGGTTCGCCCACATTGAATGCCCATTACCTGGGCAGTGTGACTGGACATTTACGGACAAGTGAAACTAAATATAACATCATAGTCCGAAAAATTATGCCTCCATTTGAACGTGAGAGAATTTTCCAACAGATAAGATACGAAATGAGATTACTGTCTGTATAAACGGAGGAAGGGGGCACCGTTTGCGGTAGGCACGCGCACACGTCGACTAATACGTATTGATGAATACATCTTATCAAAATGGGAGCGAAAAAAGTGGTAGCTGATGCATGGGCTTACTATAAATTATAACCTACCTAAATTCGCACAGTTGTACACATGTCCCGCTCTTATAATTACCACAATAGGGGTCTTTACAACATTTGGTTACTGATGAAATTTTGCAATTAACGTTTCAACATATTACATTGCTCCATCTGCAGTTGAGATTGTGAGAGCTCAGTTTGATGTAGCGCACCCGTAATATACGCTCGTAGACGTTACACTTAAATATAGTCGCGACCATTAATGACTAGAAAATGACCGACGATTACGGAAGCACTGCATATATATATGTTATTGTAGGTAACATGATGCTAAGCGCAATGAAGAATGAATGATTCTTGACGGAATTCCGCATTGCATATCATAGCCATTAAACAAAACGACCATTTCATGTACATACTACGTAAATTACAATCAAAATAATGCAACGATCAACGTTAGCAAAAGTATTTAGTTGACTTTATTTAATCGAGACAGACAGACAGACAGACAAGGACAAAGTCGTAGGTGTTTACCCAACTTCACCTTGACACCTTAAGCGCAATGAGGATACAGGGGCCTGATAAGTATTTCATAAAATTAGATAGATGCACCGGGGCATACAGCGACATGATTCGGCTCGTTCTCCTAGTGCTCCATGTTTTTACTATCCTATTCACAATGGACTGCACTGCATTAATTTAAGGGATTTTCTGACCAAGAACCAAATACGCTCGGATCAGAGTTCAGCTAGAAATTATGTTGGCTATTGAAGAAACGCGTAATGGTAATCGTGAAAACAATTAGATGCCCTCTAGCTACGAACCATTATTGAACCTGTTTGAAGTCAAGTCGAAAATAAACATTACGGACCCCAATCGACTGAGATATTCAGTACAATATGAATTATTGGTCATCAACGTGTGGATAAAATTGGACAAATTTCTCCTAAGGTATATATGACCAAATATACATGACAACCACGCTCGTGGCGTTAGACCTGATGTAACACCTCAACTGTTTGATGTAAACCGTCTATAAATCCAGGATCATCCACAGCAGTCTACGCTGCTTCCTGTAATGATGCCGTTATACAACTGTCTCTTGAATGGGGGGCGTATGCGCATCAAAGCCACATAGGTAGATATAAACGAGTGAGTGTATAGAAACCGAAGTTAGACGACAGGTCAGTGTTTTAGATATATCCTGAAGTTTTTCATGTCAGTATTAGGTTCTAAGTGCTTTTTCTATCAGTTTGACATTATTATCGTGCAACGATACGAATTTAGTTGAGACATTTTTGCCTACCTAACTCTGCTGGATTTAATCTCAAGGATCGACTCAACGTACGTATCTTCGCAGACGTGAACTTATTGTCTTTCTGAGTATAACCTTCATGTAATCCTTCGTGTTATGTAATCGTCTATTAATCTTACCGCGAGTCTACCGCGTCTATGATGGTAGAGTAATATCGGTATTTGTTCTGTCTCCGTAGACGTTGAACGTCAAGTGGGGTATCTGCTGCCTTAGAGCGTCTTGACTCAGTAACTGATTGAGTGGACGAAAGTATATCGTCTTTATGACATTTGCTTCAACCCCTCCTGTATTTGTCTGCCCGAATCTTACGTTCAATACAGAACGAGCCCACCACAGATAGGATGCGCGGATAGAGGTTATGGATGCATTGACGTCTTTATGTTAGACGACATACGACATCTGTAAACAATTAATTTTTATTTTGAACAGTTCATAATGGCTTTCTCTTTCGCCATTGCATTCGGCAAAACGAGTGGGGCACACGTTCGTTAATCTCGCCATAGTCTGTGAGTGCTTTACTTATAAACTTCGCTTTACGCGTATGCTCATTTTCGAATGAGTGCATGTCCTAAACAAATTACTTGTACTGATCAGGCTTCCGACAATAATGATAGAAACACAATAGTATCGTTTGGGACAGAAGCACTGGGTTAAATAAGCTGAAATCATCCATAGAACAATCATTCTCTCTTGTGGACACGTCGCAAAAAATCCTCGATGTGGTTTGGCAACCTTTCGGAATGGTAACCGCGCCTGGCTCATGCCAACCCACATCTCACCGATAAGCCTAGGTTAGGAGTAAACAAAACCGTGAAATAATTGCTTTGTGGGGCCATAAGATTCGGATTTATTTCTACACTTAACCTTCAAATTTCGCTGTCTACTGACGTGTTATTAGCGTTTACCGGTGCAAAAATCAACTATACGCAGAGTTTTGGTGCGCGCTTTTGTATGCAGCTGCTTGTAACTATGTGCCTTTTATTATAGATTGGGCAAGATTGGCCTTTTTCAAACAATCGCTGTCCTGATGCAAATGTCGAGTCTTGTCAAATAGGATATCGAGATTGGTCTTCGTGCATATAAAGCGACGCTTCGTTGGCTTAAGCTTGCCTATCTAGCCTATACGCTTCATCTAATACCTGAAACCTAATTAGTCCTGCTGCGCATTAATCCTATGAGGATGAGCGTCGTCACAGTGCGAGATCCGTTAAAATCCGCTCCTTTAGCCCAGATGATTAGCGTCGTTCGGTTTGGAAATACTATATATATATATATAATGCTATGAATAAAAGAAAATAGTAATCATGATAGGAGACGTGAAAAATTCAAACATGGACCAACGAGGAATGTTCTCATAAAGTTACTAGGACCACAAGCACGATAAGGCATCCACAACCTAAGCCGTAATGTATATAGGGAATATGCTCTAATCGATGACTAGAATCAGGAAGCACGTTTATATTACCAGATTTAGCGTATGGGGTGATTGATATAACCAAATGAATATTATAATAGTTTCTCCTTAAAATATCATCACCGTGACCATTTTCTCTTCCAGCTATAAAGATACTATAGTCCGTTTCAGAAAACGTGTTCTATTGAATATTATTTTAAAACCGAAATATCAGTTTCTGCGGCCAGAACAATCGAGCAAAGGCGAAACAAAATAAATGCAGACACGGGCACAATACCGCTGCATAAAAACTGGTGAAAATAGAAACGTAAAGCCTACTTGGTAAAATGTGAGTTGTGGGTTTCATGTGGCCAGCGGTACAGATAGGTTAATGAGGCCAGGCTGTAAGTGCTCAAGCAGCGGCAAGATTTATGTACGATGGGGCTAAAAAAATGGGAATGCATCACGTTTTGAAATAGGCCAATAAATTAGCTGTGAGACAACCTAAGGGATTTTACAAGCT